TGTGACAGTCAGAGGTCAAAGGTCAGACTCTGCTGCAGTGAGAGTGAAGGTGGGACTCACCGAGCAGGAGCAGAGAGGCAGCTGCAGCCTTCATGATGTCTGGATGCTGACTGACTGTGTCAGACGCCTTCAGCTTCCCTTTCATCACTTCCCTTTGATCCCATTGGGTCCCTGTGTGCTGTTGGTGGAGCCTCACAGTACTGCATCTATCAGAGAGTTTAGCAAAGGCTGGATCATTGCTTTGTTTTCAGCCTGACAGGAACACAAACCTGACTCTGTGACTCGTTGGTTTTCCCCATTTTATGATGGTTTTCATGAACAGATGCTTGTCACAGAGTTCCTCAGGGTTCTGTGCTGGGACCAGTAACTTTTCACTTCATACTTCCTTCAGGCAGTATTATTAGAAAACACTGCATTTGTTCATTGCTATGCAGATGATAACCAGCTGTACTGATCCAAAAGCCAGATGACACAAATCCACCAGTTCACATAAAGACCTGGTTTGTGATTCATTTCTTTCTTAATAAATTCATGAAATGTTAAAAAGTCATCTTTATCTGAAACTGTTCAAAGCTTCCTGATCAACACTTCCTGCTGCACTTTCAGATCCTCTCTCTGCTCACAGGAGAATCAAACCACTGAAGGAGACGGCTGACCTTTGACCTCTGACTCCTCTCAGCGTGTTTGCTCTGCAGCTTGTAAACGATGATATAATAAAACATGTCGTTACAATAATGTCAGATGTTGGTGTTGCTGACGTTAAAGTCACAGGTGTAGATCATGAGAGCAGAAGTGTTGTGTTCAGGTGTGACGGAGCTGCTGTCGTTAGATTTAAATAGAAGCGAGCGTCCAGCCAATGAGATCAGTTCTGCTCTGTGTGCTCTCTCCTGGTTGGTCTGTGGATGTTTCCATGCGGTTGCTATTACAGGTTATCTTAGTGTGTTATGAGTGTGTTTCCTGATGATGTTCCCCTTTAGTCCTGTGCAGCTCGTCTCAATCACACGTTTTTGATGTTTGAATCTTTCATTGTGGTTGGATCAGGTTAAAGCACAAAAACATCACAGAAACAAACAGCTGTGAAAATAAAATAGTTGGATTCATGTTTTTACACTTTGATTCAATACTTCAGAAATGAATTTGACAGCTTATTGATCAGTGAACAGAGTTTACATCTTTGGACACTTTCAGATTCCTCAGAGGATCCATCAGCGTAGAAGACATGCTGAGTGATGACATCAGCAACAATGTCATCATACTCAGCGTCACGCCCAATGGCGTCTCCATGGAGACAGCATGTTTGTTACCTGTGGGCAGAGTGGAGACATCAGGTGATGTGATCAAAGTGTTTATGTGAGAATCTACCTGAGTTTGTACCTGAGCTCCTGCTGCAGCAGATGGACAGGAGCAGGATGGTGCAGATGCAGTACGGGCAGAAGGCCAACAGGTGGCAGATGACTCTGATCCAAGACACAGAGGGAGAAGAAGGAAGAGGAGGAGGAGGGGAGGAAGAATTGTTTGGAAGAAGCAAAGTGGAAAGGGAAGAATTGGTCTCAGAAGAGACGGATGTTTTAAGAGACGTTGTAGGAGACCCTGCAGGAGAAATTATGAAACAGGTAAAGGAGTTAGCTGAGCAGGCCAGGTCTTTAAACAGGAAGTGATGTCATTGTACTGACCTCTGACCTTCAGAAAGCTCTGAGGAGATTCTCCAAACGTATCAGTAGCACACCAGTAGAGACCTTCATCACACTTCTGGGCTCTTCTGATGTTGTACTCCAATGTAGATCCAGGTCTAACGAGACGTCCATTCATGAAGAAATGAGATGTTTCACAGTTCTTCTTCTTGCATTGTAGAATGACACCAGTTCCTGGTCTTACAGGAAGTACAGGGATCTCCATGGTCACACCTTTTTCTGAATAACAATAAAACAGAGTAATGTTTGAGACACAGTTCCACCATCAGAGCAGAGTCACAACAGAGACACAGCTGGAACATCTCACTTTCTGTACTGGACACGCTGATGTCATCACTTTTCTCTCCAGATAAGCTTTCACGCCAGAAGTTTCCACTGTAGGACGAGTAACGATCCAGAAGACACAAATTGTTATCACAAAGTCTTCAGCTGCTCCTCAGTGAGTCCTCCTCTGGTCCTCCTCACCGTCCTTCCGTCAACGTCCTGTCCATCATCATCATCAACGCAGCCCAAAGACACGGACGTGGGTCCACTGAAGAACTGCTGAAAGTTTGGACTGGCAGACAGATAGACTGGAGGACAGAAAGAGGAAGGTCGCCAGCAACACATGGCGTTACAACTGTAAAGGAGGAGAAAGCAGATTCAGGCATTAATCATGAGACCTTCAGGACCAGAATCCAGGACTAGAATCCTGATGGGGCCCAAGCTAACCTCTGCTAATAAA